CAAAATCCCATTTCTGAGATCCTTTAAAAAGGCCTTTAGCAATAGCTTGCTGTTTTCTCATCAATAAAAGCAGGGTACTATCTACCTCCCGTATGGCTTTGATTGAAAGTAGGTGCGACGTGCTTATCCTCAGAACCTGTGGTCTTCAAATTACATGTGACAAGACACAAGGATTTCGACAAGCCTTCCTACCTAAAAATCTTCCCTTGTCCTTCTCATCTTGCCTCCCATTAAACTCCCATCATAAATATTATTCATCTGGGTATACTAAGAAATATCCTCTCCCAGAAGCTCCTGCGAAAACATTACTATGTTAATCCAGAAAGGATAACTTGGAAAACATGTTGATATACTGTCAGTAATAAATTCTTTTAGAAAGTAAGACTGGTAGGGGTGAAGGGATTAGCAATGAGGGGTCCAAAAGGCAAAAGGCAAAGTGTATAGTGAATGGTACCCAAAGGAGGTCACTAAGATCATTTTCATAATTGTACTATTCATCAGCCCTGCCTATGACATGACTGAGCTAGAGAAGTTAGGTGAGGAAGGAAGAAGATGAAAAGCTTGGTAGATGACAATTCCAAGAGCTGGACAGCCTGAGGAAATTCAGACCTGGCACGGCACATCCAAGGTGTACGTGCTGGATGCAAGAGCTCTTTGGTAACTATTTCATGATGTCAGTTTAGCGCTGGCTTTCAGACTTTCTTGAAATCCTATTTTAATTTAGGGCAGGTTCATGTCTTCTTATTGAAAGGATCCACCAGTTACTAAGATGAAACTGACTGGATTCCAGGGCTATGTAGTGTAGTGGTTTAGAACTTTACAAACTGCAAGATTTGGGTCTGAAACTTGTCTCTGGCTTTTTCTAGCTGTAAGATCTCAGGCAAGTGACTTAACTCTTCAAGCCTCAGATTCTTCATGTGAAAAGTTTGTCATTTAGGACTGCTGTGAGGAAAACAGTGAGCTACTATAGGTAAAGAGCTTAAGATTGTGCTAAGATTGCTAAGATTAGCTATCTTTATTATTATTGTTATTGTTTTTTTAAAGCACAGTGTATTTTTTATGAACAATTAATGAACTGGGTCCAGAACTCAGTTGGTACACACTCATTTCATTGAAGTTACTTATATCAAAATTAGGCTAAATCTCTTGATTTAGTCTGCAGGATAACCAAACCTGAATCAAATTAGAGATACAAAAGGCAATATGGAGCATCCATACACATCCCAGTAGAAGGAAGTTCAAGTTTCAAATAATGAACTAACATTATCGAGAATCAAGGGATTTGTGACAAGAATAGCTCAAATGGCTTTGGAATACAATCTATTATTCCTATAACAGATTAATATTGATTCCAGCCTTTGCTGAAGCTAATTTAAAAACAACAGCAACAACTGCATGCTAAGTGGAC